AGTTTTCTCAAAAAAGGCTTGAATTTAGGAAGTTTTAGATTTGCGTGGTTTTTTTTAAGTTGCAAAATCCACTTGAACATGACGCTGCTTTTTTCGAAGTTTCTCAAGAACCATTCGAGCCAGTGAATTCGTTGGAAGGGAAGGAAATTCGTTGGAGAATGGGGGGGTCATGACCCTCTTGACACACCAACATTGTCATGGATTTAGCAGTGTTTCAATATAAGTTTGTTAGCTGATTCTCCGAAAGTCCGAAAAAGTCAGTTAGTTCAACGGAAGTTTGAAATGTCCGATATATCGATAAAAATGGCCCGCTCTAGAAAGCACAGCCAGTGTAAAACGCTACCAGGAACCCCACAGGGGCCCCCCGACGGCCCAGCAACATTTAGGGCCCCCCTGCAATGCCTGGACATTAGTCAATGAGCGTTTGGACTGTGTTAGAATTTTGGTTCCATTCATGTCGTGACATTTTTTATGTCGAGAACACGCCATTAGGTGTGGAGGCGACAGGCCACGCTCCCCTTTGACCCCCCAAAAAAAAAGTTGGCCGCCCGGTACCAAGTCGTCGATGGGGACGCGTCGCGCATACTTAAACAGCGATAATTATAGCCGGGTCTTAACCTATTTATTAGCTTTGCGCGCTTTTGAGGACGCCTTTTACCTTCGTTATTGTCTACAAGCTGATGTCATCAGACATTAAGTGCGACCTTAAATGCAAGTCCATTAACCCCGGCGAGAGTAATGTTGACTTATTGATAAGAGCAATTGATGAATTGAGACATCTAGTCATAGCTGGCCGTGCCCTTTGACTGACAATTGACACGTTTGACAGTTGTAGTTGGTCGTGACCAAACGTCTGCCGAAGCTGTCACTTAATCACTAGGGCCTAGACCGGGAGTGTTTTCCGGTGAGTCACTTCCGGTAGGTATAAGCCAGTCTTGGCCATCGAGACTCGCGGCAGGATCATTGGACTTTTCGACTTTCAATCATCCCAAAGAGCGACTTTGTAACACTTTTTAAAGCTCATTACTGGGCCGTATTTAAAAGCTGACATTTATACCTGAAAGAGGCGGCCGAACACACCCAAGCCGATGGAAGGTTCATCTTTGCGCTTTCTTTTCGGTTTCGAACTTCAATCACAACAAAACTGACAATCACTCTTCTTCCTTCGAATGAATTATTTATAGCCGTACTTGGGTGAAAATCGCGTGGGCAGGTGTGGAACTCGGGAATATTCCGGAAATTTTCGAAAAACGAGCGCCATCTGCCTCACCAACAACACCATCATCAATCACGTGACGTTTGTCATGCAAGGCTTCCCATTTAGTTATCGTGAACACCAAGTGACCACTTGAGCAGTGGCGTTATCAGGTGAAAAAAAACATTTTTCGACTCTCATCCCAGATCAAACACTGATAACGTCCGGATCAGTAAATTGTTGATTTTAACGTTGCCTTTATTTGCCGTGCGCAAATACAATCAACTTGTTTGCCATCTGATGGGATTAATTAGCAGAAATTGGAATTTTGATTTTTCCTCGACAGCCGAGAAAAATCACGCAGGCCTATCTAGACGACCTGACACCACTGCAAGGCTTGCAAGGAGCGGCTAATTGTAGCCCCCTTGGAATACATTATTGCCAGATTTCAGCTGATTTGACGCGTTATTATAG